CTGTCAGAGGACTAGAGCCAGCCATGTGCCTTACCCCCTTGCCAGCTTGAATGCTTTGATAGAGTTCCTGTGCCTTCCTGTGCTTCCTTTTCTCCCCAGAAAAACGGGGGAGAGCTGAGCTCTCTGCAAGTGGCACCATTCCGAGTTCATTTCTCCGGCCTTTGAAACAGAGCAGCCAGCAATTGTCAGCTCCTTACATGAGTGTGAACTGCTCGGCCCTCTCTGGGCTGGGGATCCAAATGTCAGTGCTCAAAGGGAAAAAGAGCAGATTTTTACCATGGTAACAGAGGAAATTAAATAGATGTGTCCGTGCTCTGCTCTCTTCTGCTGCTGGCTGGAGTTAAACAAGAAATGCCTGGTTTCGTACGGAGCCATAGGGACTGGCATACAATTGGTTATGAATATAGAGGTGACTTTTTCTAGCAGCTGCAGATCAGCATTTACCCATGTAGGCATAATAATGGTGTAATGATACTGACTTCATTCATAAAGGCCGTGGGGAGCTGTGGATGAAAATATTCGGAAAAGGTGAGGTATTATCTGTCCGAGCCTCAGTTCCCAAAGAAGGGTTCTTTGACAAAGACAGAACAATTAAGGCTGCACTCTTCATCACTGTTTCTTTTTCTGTTTTCTTTTCCTTCTGTTTCTGGTGTTTGTATCAATCTGTGAATGCTTGGAAACAGCTTTTGAAAACATGTTTGCAGAGATTTCTAATGAGGCTTTTTGGAATGCAGCTAGTATTTAGAAAACAATTCCTAATGCAGGCTGAAAAAGCATGCATTTTCCAATCAGGTTTGTTCATATCACCTTGGTAAACATTGATGTTTCTTTTTTTAACTTGTGGTTCAAATGGAGCTTGAAATTAAAATAGCTCTGTTTGCTCACCTCCCTGTTTGCCTGCCACTGTCGCTGAGCTCAGCACCACTCTCCGAACAGGTTTGTTAATTGCTGTCACTGCTTCTGATGGTTTTTGCAGTAACAGTTCAGATGGTGTAACTATCTGCTGGGGTTTCTCACTAACGAACGCTGAAGTGAAACAAAAGCATTGCAGGCAGATGTAGAATCCCACAAGCCGGGGCTGGCAGGGCCCCTCCGAGTAGGTGGTGAGGGATCAGTGAAGATGCCAAGAACATAAAGGGGGCTGCCCTGCGTTTGCCATGCAGTGCCCCAGCAGCCCTTCTCAACGTGGGCCACTGCAAGCTGCCTGAACTGCAGCCAGCACTTCCCTGAGCTGTCCCGAGTAGTGCTCAGGTTCTGATAAAGTCTAAGTTCAGTGGTAGACTTGGTGGCCTTAGAAGTCTTTTCCAAACGAGAGGGTGCTGTGATGCTGCAAATTCTGCAGCGTTAGGGAGCCTTTGCACGAGGAGTCCCAGAGAAGCCTGCAGCAGCTCTGACGCACCAGCGAGTGTTACTGGGATAGACTTTGCAGTGCTCAGCTCGGAACACAGTGCTGTTTTCTTCCTGTCAGTGCTGAAATACACAGTCCATTTGTTCTTTACATTTTTGGGTGCTCAATTTCCTTGGTTTTGTTTGTTAGAATGAAGCTAATGTTTACTATAAACCCTGACCTATTGTAGAACAGTTATTATAAACATACGTAGAAAACCTACAGCTAGCCCAGGGTCCAGTGTTTAAAAACAGAACTAAAAGGGGCCTTAAAATATTCTGGATGCGAGTTTGTACTGTCAACATACAATGTAAAGTTGTGGGTAAATGTACCATGAATCCATTCCCAAGGCATGTGCAGAGCAAACAGGAAAGCTGGGCACGAAGCTGTACGTGGTTGGAAAGTGCAAAGGAAATACTGTGTTTGCTGAAACCTGATCGATATTTCACGACTCTTTTTCCATTGCTTGCTTGGGGCAGAAGGATGTGTGAGTTCTGGATGCCACAGATGAATCTTTCTGTGGCCATGTCGTGCTGAGATGGTGAGTGAGAGCCGTGGTTCTGCGCAGGGTGTGTGCTGTCAGTGTTTTAATGAGCTCTGCTCCAAAGGCTCCGAGTGATGCCGCTGGCTGTCCCCCGTGGGCTGGTGCCAAAGGGCCACCCCTGCCAGCTCTGCTGTCCCTCTGCCCCCAGATGGGCACAGCATGGAGGGGCAAGGGGTGCCAGTACCCCAAATAACCATTTGATAACCAAAGAAAATTCTCCTTCCTGGGCTACATATGCCTTTTCTACCAATGGCAATTAGTGCTTTTTGCCTTGTGTTAGTTAATGATTGCTGGTTTATTTAATAGATTGGATACAAAATAAACAACGTTAGTTTGCTATTGACCTATCAATTATGATGTCTGATTACTCCTCTGGGGAGCACAGGTAGTCATTTGTCCTGACATTTTGTTAAAATACGTGGTATTATGGGACCAATCCCCTTAATTCCTCACTCCCCGGGGCCGTTTAGTGTACTTAGCTGTAGAAAGGTGATTTCTGGAGCATGACAGCTGTTGGTGCTGGGGCCATTGTGTGGGGAACAAAACGGGTTATGTTCTGCTCTTAGGCTGCTTTTGTGTCACTGATACAGAGGCCATTTCATAAATTAGACACAACTCTTCCCAGGGAAATTGTATTCCCGCTTTCTTTGCTGCAGTGCATTAAAATAAACCACCAGCACGGCAGTGCAAGGAGATGTTTGAGCTTGACATTGCCTTAAGGCCTGTTGGGTTTATGCTGATGGCATTCCTACCTATTTTCATTGATTAGGTACATTACCAGTAGTTTCTTTTCATGGTTTTTACCATTTTATTAATTTAATAACAGCTGCATTTCAGCACAAACATCACTGAATCATTTTTCCTCCAGAAGTCATTGCTTTTCTAGAAAGTTGCAAGTCTGTATGTGCAGCAAGACCCAGCCTGTTGGAATTGCTGTCTGCCAGTCCCAGGAATGTGAACACCAAGGTGAGGGCACAGAGTATTCCACACCTGACTGTGGGACTGGGAGAGCTCCCACACGTGCCAGCATTGGCAGAGCAGCAGCTCCTGTAGCTGGGGCACAACCATTTAGTGTGTCAGAGTTTGATTTGAGGTAGTGGGGGATGTCTGTAATACTTGGTAGTGGTTCTTCTCATTTCCTAAAATCTCCTCAAAAGATGTACGATTCCAGGGAAATACCAGGGCCTTTTTCAGTTTCTGAAACGTGCAAGTGTTATAGACAGAGTCTGTATGATTTAATTTATGATTAAAACTCTTTTTGCTGGCAGATCCTTGTGCCAAGGGGTGTTGAGACGTTTCCAGAGCACTGGCTTTGAATGGGATTCTGGAGGTTCTGTGTAGAGACTTGGCTATGTCCTGTGTAACCCTGGTTTGGAGCAGCAGGGTGGTTCTGTCCCTCACCCAGGCATCCTTCCCTGTGGGCCTGTGCTGGCTGCCACCCAGCTGACCTCTGTCAAGCACCCACTCTGGGCTGGCAGACTTTTTGAGATATCTTCTGGAATTTTCCCAGGGCAGTCCAGCCCCTGAGATGAATGTGGCTCACCACTGGATGTCATTGTTGCACTGTGGTGAACTGCAGCTCAAAGAACATTTATCTGGCAGTAAAAAATAATGTTGCCTGGCCAAAGGTGAGATTGAATTTTTCCTCTTTCTGAATGACTTGCTGTGCAGTTGCACCATTGGGCAGGGAATTGATCTATAATGCCTCCTTAAGGGACAGGACAGCACTCTAGTACTGGAGTTGCACAGTGTGGTGGGGCTGTGCTGAAGCCTCAGCTGTGGAGCTCCACCACTGCAAAGACACGGCATAAAAGATCTCTTGGGATCTCAGTGTGCCACGTACTTATTGAGAAAGCCCATGTAATTACCCACAGCTTTCAAAGTAAGTACTTACTCTTCATCTATTGAGTTACTCTATCAGCTGATACATAGAGAATATATTTCTACTGTACTTCCATAGAAGGAGTTTAGAGGACTTTAATTTTATTAGTGCTGTCTCCTATTTGTAGTGGAGGAAAACCTGTTAGAAACCTTAGATTGCTTCCTTCCAAAGTGCCACAGCAGGAATTTATACAAGTGTCTGACAAATAACAGAAGCAGCTCCATTTTGTATTGGTCTTCCCAGTGCATTTATGAACCTTCAGTTACCCATTCTGTGAAATGGGAACGTAGGCAACCCTGAGCAGTAGGAAAAATGCAAAGAGATGGAAAGTATTTCCTTGTCTTTCATCAGAAATTTGAAAGCTAAATATAGTTAAGGTGAAAAAAAACCCTGTCAAGTGCAGTAATATGTCTTGTCTCTTAGCTGCTTATTTGTTTTGAGAATCTCTGTTAGGTAGTGAGACCTAAAGACACATTGAAAAAAAACAAATGGAGTTTGGGGGAAAAAAAAAAAAAAAAAAGGGAAGAAAAAACATGGAGTTTATTCCCCGAGTTGGAATGTGCATGAAGTGGTGTGGAAGCTGAAATTAGTAATTACCAATGTGGCAGTAAGATTTGTGACTGGACTGCTGGTCCCAGTGGCATTGAGGTACTCCTTTACTCGTGTGGCAGCCTGGCTTTCCAGGTGGCTGCTCTGTATTTAAGAAAAGAGAAGGATAACTTTTGGAAAGGGAGTTTTCAATTAAACACACAAAACCACTTGAAATAGAGGTTCCTAATTAATTTACAAGTAAAACCATTTCCATAGATAAACCAGCAAGAGTAAAGATTGCTGTAGGAGGTATAAAAATGGCCTTAGCAGTATGTAAATACAAGTTCTTGAGGTGTTTGATAAATGGCAGTGAGTGATAGCAGAGGCAGTGTTTGGTCTTCTCCTGCAAGGATTCTAGAGCATCTTGCTCTGGAGAAGCCAGACCATTCATCTCTCGTCATTTTCTGTGACCTGTTAAATGTGCACGTATTCCACATGTTTTAGTACAACTTACCTGGTGCCGTGCACAGAAAAATGGTATTAGTCGTGTCAGTGACCATAAGAAGTTTTGTGTGAATGCAAGGTAATGCATCACTGAGATTCTGATTCCTAGCAGGCTTTGACTATTGTTTTTAATGTATTTCTGTGCCTTACAGCTGAAATATTCTTTGAACCACACAAATCGAAAACTGGTGCTGGAATCAAAAGTGTGTATCAACAGTAGAATCGTGGTGGTTGGTGCATCCGATGTTGGAATCTCTTTTCTGGAAACGCTGGTTTTTTGGTAAGTTTTTAATTTTATTTCCTTTGCTGAAAAGAGCGTGTTCCCCCTTGTATGAAGGGGGCTGTTTCTTGCATTTAAAGCATTCCTTGGGTCTGTCTCAATGTGTTAAATATCTGAGTACCCGCAGATGCAGGGATGGGAGCTGGCATCCTGGGTGCATCCTGGGACTCACAGGATTCCCAGCAACTCCCAGTTGCACGTGGATCCTTAAGGGCGAAGGCACGCTGGAAGTGAGAATTGAAAACACCTAAAGACGCTTTGGCCATGGTTCTTCAACCGCAATCGTGTGGGGAGAGCTGGAGTCAGTGGCCCTTGGTGTGTGTTCCCCAGCAGTGTTCACCTCTAAATCCAGTCGTCCCTGGTGGGTTCCCAAACCTCTCTGAATCCCCCCTTCCCTGAGTCTAGGGCAGGGAAAGCTGTGGATGAGCTCTGCTGTGGAACAGCCTTCCCAGCACGAGGACAAGGTGCTCTCCCTGATGTCTCACTCTTGTACTCCCCAGGGGCTTACTGGGGAGTCAGACTGTCAGAGTGCAGTTCCCTTGATGCGGAGTTTTATCACACTTACTAGAAATGTCATGAAAGACTTGCAGAAATGAATATAAAATTCAAAATCTGAACATGATTCTTACAAGGTGCAACAAGAACTGAGAGAGTCTGGTGCTTTTATGGGGGGTGGAGAATGGAAAATTCCACCTTTTTTTCTTTTCTCAGTTAAGCCAGGAGTTTGTATTTCTACATCAACCATTGATAACATCACAAATGATATTTTCAATACATCAGGAGAGGAATAAGTTGAAGTGCATTATAGATGTTATATTGCTGGAGCAGTGCAGAAGAAAATTTCTGCTTCTTGCCCCTCTCTTAGTTCTTGACTTCCCGTAAAGCATCCCAGAGTAAATATCAGAGTAAATAGTTTCCTCTCATCTTCCTGTTCTCAGCACCCTTCAGGCTTTCAGTTCCACCCCAAATTCAGTCAAACCTGTCCTTTAGAGCTCCTAACCCATTTCTTGCTGCTCAGCCTGTGCTGTTGGTTGCTGCCATTTCGTTGCAAAGCCCTGTGGGGAAGCAGAAGCGTGTTTGTGCTCCGGGTGTGCCAGCTGAGTCTGTCTGTAGCGAGCTGCCCTCGGAGCTCCCTCGGCCGAGCCTTTGCAGGGCTTGAGCTTGGTTCAAACTCTGGCAGAGCTGCTGTAGGAAATGTCCTCCTCGAGCCCGTCTTGGCACCAGCCTCAGACATGGGGTGCTGCTCAGAGAACCACCGAGCCAGCAGGCGCCACTTAGTGCAGTGTCACAGAATTTATATTAATAGAGGTATAAATTTGGGAAAGATTAGTTTTTAATTTTCACATCAGCAGCAAATAGCCTTCTGATCAATGTGAAGGCCTTTTAAAACAATTTAGTTTAATTTACTCATAATTTTCTAATATTCCCTGTAAAGGTTACATGCACTAAAAATAGCTGGATTGAATCAATTTGTGAGCCCTAATCCTTAAAAAGAGGAAGTAATTTTCTCATCGTTGTTCTTCATACTTAATTATTTTACATTACCAGTCACCATGGAAACACACAAATGTAATTCACTTACCGATGTGGCAATTATTTGAACTGGATCTTGCAAGTGTTTTCAGCTTCTTTGGGACCGAAGAGACACGTGTTTCCTTAGGCAGAGAAGTGACCTGGCAGTGCTGTGGGTGGGCAGCGCATCCCGGGGCGCGGCGCTCCCGGAGCTGCCGTGGCACCGCTGCTCACCCACCGAACCCCAAAGGAGCTCTAGCCTTCCCCGTGCTGCTCGGGCAGCGTGTGCAGGTACACGTCTTCGGCTGCACAGCTGCTTTTCCCGAGGATGCACAGGGGTTTTTTGGTTTCTTTAGCGGAGGGCCGGGTGGCTGCTGCAGGGGCAGAGCCTGCTGCCAGGCCGGCTGGGACTGTGACAGTGGCTCTGGGGGCGCAGGGGTGACAGTGGCTGGGTTCTTATTTGGTTGGTTGGTTTGGGTTTTTTTTTTTTTTTCTTCGTTCCTTTGTTAGTTTCAAAGGGATGGGCAGGGCAGCAGGGTTCGACCAGAAGGACACGGGATTACAAACCCCAGTGTTTCCACTTAATCCCAGGGGCTGGTTCCTGGAGCAGAATGCAAACCCAGGCAGCAGGGATGGAAGTTGGGTTTAAGGATCTTGGATCTTGCTCCCAGCGGTGTCTTGCCACTGGTTCCAGCGCAAGGAGCCCATTGGCTTTTATTTGCTTCTTTGCATATAGCTGTGGAAATCACTATTGTCTTCGATTATAGGGAAAACCGTTTTTAATCCGTGGTTTTGAAAACCTCCTTAATCCAAGCCCTGATGTAAACAATGACTTATTCTCTGAGGATGTTGGAGTAGACATAACATGCTACACGAGATAGCCATAAATGAATGGTGCCTAAAATCACAATATTGCACATGAAATTGTTATGGAATCTATTTCCTTCTCCCTGTGGGCGCATTAAAATAATGATTGCACTTAAGAACCAGATGGATTAAAGCACATTTTTGTCAGAGCCGTGATTTTTTTTCTCAAAGTAGGATTGGAATCCAGCACAGTAAGCCTGCATTGTTGGCTGCAGGACGGTGTCTCCCAGGGGGACCTAGCCAGGATCAGCTCGGAGGTGCAGGGTTTGAGCAGGGTTCCTGTCGAGCCCTTTATCTGGCAGCACCGGGGCACACAATATCCTGCACATCTGGCCTGTTTGGCTCTAGTTAGTATAATGCTTGCTGCTTAATTAGGCTTTTTATCTTTGCATTTGTCTGGGAACATCTGAAGCCTTCCACGTTGCCTGTCACTAATTAGTTGACTAATTAAATAGTTAGTGCTTACTTGCTGATCACAGAGCTAACGTGCAGTGAATGGGTTAGAGATGGCCATTGTTGTGTGCTATCTGTCTCTGCCACACGGGCTGACACACGTGTGCTTCCCTGTGCCTTCCCTGCAGAGCCAGGCGAGCCCGGGCCGTGTGCTCGGTGTCACCATCCCTCGGTCACTGCTGCCTTCCCTCGCCTCTGCTGAGCGCAGCTCGAGCTGTGACAGAGATAAATCAGACGGGTCAGAGCTGGCCTTGTCGCGCAGTCGGCATCGCAATGAACGCTGGCAGTGACTGATACCAGATGTAAACAGGGGAGAGGGTGTGGGTCAGGATCAGCCTTCCAACAGCCTCTGCCAGAAAATGAGACTCAATTAGCATCAATATGGGCTTATTTCATAGTTACAGTCTTGCTTTTGAGACTCTCTGCGGTTCAAAATAAGATTATTTCAACTTGAAATACTTTCCCTTTGAACATATGCAAACACTTCTCCGAGCCCAAACTGCTCTTTCACCCTTGAAATTTGTAGGTATTTGTAGATTTTCTCTTGTTACTATTTATGCTTGAATACTCCTAACTTCTTGGTGAGTGTTAAAGCTGATCTTGGAAATAGTTGTTTTCTCATAGAAAGCCTGCTCAAAAGCAGAATGAGTCACGAGGGTTTTTATAGAATGCTGGGCTGCATCCGTCATCCCCTCCTGGTGACTCAGCAGGACGTCCACAGCTCTGAGCCTGTAACCTGGTACCCCTGGTGGGTGCAGTTCAGAGCAGACACAGCAGCGTTCCAAGGCTCCAGCTCTCTGCTAAAGCCATGGAGGAGATGTCACCCCTTCCTCTTGTGTTCATACGTAGCGTGGTTTGAAGTTTGTTCCCAGAGCTGTGGAGGGGGTGCAGTGCTGAGCCCTCCAGAGCAGTCTCCAGGCTGCCTGAGGGTCGGCTTGGAAGCACAGCAGACTGAGCAGGCTGCTGCAGTGGAGAAAAAATGACTTGTCTGGCTAAGCTGTGATCCTCCCCACTAGTGATTAGCGTGGATTTGATTCCTGTCTGTGTGTGTGTGTGTGTGTGTGTGCATGCTGAGGGCCAGAGTCAGGGTGCTGATATGTGGAGGTCGCTAATTGAAGGATGGATGTTTGGCATCAGTACTTTTGGCCCAGCTGACTCCTCTGCCAGCTGTGTCCCTGTTCTTCCTGGGCTGCCAGGACTTACATTGTGAGGACCTGGCACTGGGGGATGCCTCAGAACTTGTAACTTTGGTGAGTTTTGTGTTCTCCTGCTGGTAGGACGAGCACATGTGGTTAAACCTCAAACCTGCCTGGTTTAAGGGCGGTCTGCCTGGTGGCAGATCTGGGAACATTTCGAGGGTACCCACTCTGAAGGCAGCATTGCCAGATTTGCACCAGGCTACATCATGGAGGCAGAATACTTTTCTCCTCTGTAATAGTTTGGGAAATTGAAGTCTAGTATACAGCCATAAACCCCCACCACCTTAGTTTTAAACATGGATAATTGGCCAATAATATTGAAAATGTCCTATTAGCAAGCTGGTGTCTGCACTGTGTGTTACTCACTGAGGCACTCACACAGCAGTGGGCAAAGCAGCGAAGTTTCTGCCACACTTTAGTTTTACTGTCCAATTTATAGTACCTTTATTTGTGGAAAATGCTGTTGATGTCTCTCAACTGCGATTTGGAATTTGCAAGGTCATTAAACAGCAAGAGACTGTAAAGTACCAAGGCCATCATCAGATATCCCTCATTTTCTGTCTAGAAAAATAATTGCCATTTTTGAAGAAAACTAAATGCTGGAGCACTTGTGGAATGGAAATTGGAATTTTAGGAAGGAAGTGCTCTCACTGAAGCAGTGGTTGGATGGTGCTTTGATTAGACTCCAAGCTAACTTAGATTTGGGATGGCAGGAGTGCCCTTGTGAGTGCTGTAGCTGTGGAAGGATATGGATTTAGCTCTGTGAGTGGGCAAGGAAAAGAGCTCTTTAGATTTCCTTGCCCAGTCACAGAACAATTCATACTGTAGGAACCTTGCTATGTTGGTTTTAGTAACCTAGATTGTGAGATTGCCACAGATCTTGAGTGGATGCACTATTTTTTATAAGCAAAATCAGTTGCTGGGAAGTGAGAGGTGACTGGAAGGGACAAAAGCGGTGGCAGCCATAGG